GTATAATAATAAATATACAATAGCCTAATTTAATATTCAGTAAGTGACAGATAGGTAATGGTCTTTTACCTTATTTTTAAAGACATTCAATGATGGTGTACGCTTTATATCATCTGGTAATTTATTCCAAAGGCGGACAGCCTGAACTGCAAAAGGATCCTTCGTTGGACAAGTTTCAGTGACCACGATCCTCAGTAATGAGAGAGAGAGAGACTCATTCCTGTCGATTTGCACAATTGCCAGACTGAAAAAAAATAATATTGAACTTGGAAATTTTTTTGAAGGTGTCATTGTCTTCTTCGCCTGCTGCGTTTGTGTCATATAATCGTGTAATTTATGTGTCTATCGGTCAGTTGCATAAACGTCCATTAAGGTTTAATGACGCCTTTAAGCTCTAATGAATGTCAAATTCTTATGGGTAATGTCGTTTTAAACTAATGACAATTATAATGTATGTATGTGCAACTGGCTGTGTGTGACCGGGAATAGAAATTTTAATATAAGGATATGTCATAAAAGGAATTTATTCTAGGTATTAATGTTTGTCTGGTGCAATTTGACATAGCGATACGTTGCGGGCTGAGTAGAAACACGACGATAACGTAGCTTAAACTAACTGATGTCACCGTCTGACTTCAGAATTTATATATGAATAAAGAAAAAAATTAGAATTTTCCTATAGGCGTTAATGTACTAATACAAAGGTCTCTCACATATCGGCATTGTAATATACTTTGCGTGATCATTCGAAATCATATAATTCTTCTACTAGTGGCCGCCAGCGACTTCGTCCGCGTTTTCCATTATTTCTTCGCTCCTCATAGTTGTAGCGTGATGTTATATAGCCTAAAGCCTTCCTCGATAAATGGTCTATTCAACACAAAAATAATTTTTCAATTCGAACAAGAAGTTTCTGAGATTAGCGCGTTCAAACAAACAAACTCTTCAGCTTTATAATATTAGTATAGATAGATAACATCATTGTGTTATGATGTGTACACAATATCCTCTAATAAAAGACAACTCTTACGATTTTCGTGACAATTTTATTGGTCAGTTATATAATGAAATGATTTCAATAGTTAACACCTTAAATTCGTAGATGAATTAACTACCTACTAGATAACTAGATAATTTAAATTAAAGTCGTAATTTAGTAAAGTGATGTTTTAAAAATAACCTTTCTTAAATTACATCCAATGAGAAAAAGATCGCGTACCGCAGCCTTAGTGATAGAGAGAGATAGAGATACCCGTACGGAGTTCTGCAGGCTTGTAAGTTCGCCTGTCAATTTATAGTAATAATAAAAAAAATAACGTTGCTAAATAACGTTATTCACGTGTCACGCGAAATGCGCATTTGCGTTGACATAAACGCAAAGTGTAATTAAACAGTCGTTATCAACCGTGCGGTGATTAATGTACGCTTAAGGGTTTTTATCAATAAATTTAATTGCTATTAATATGTTTTTATTACTATAATCAAATGTTCTGCGAGTTGAAAATTGTTATAATGATTAATTGAGATTATTTTACTAAAAGCACTCAAGCTTAAACAACCTTCGAAAAAGAAACTAGTACTTTAGTTTATTTTTTTTTACTAATCGGTTGATTTAATTTTAAGCATGTTTCTTCACAGTCTATAAAAACAGCGCACATTTTTAAACTACCCAGTTCTTTGTATAACGGTTATTATTTATAAACACGATAGAAATAGCCATTCTAGTATAAAATTCAAAATGGCCAACTGTCCAATTATAACATCATTAGCGGAAAATGTCAGAACGTGGCAAGGTCACACCACCCACAGTTAAACGCCCGTTAGGCACGTTGTATTAGTTATGTGAAATCAATAAGTTGAATGTTATCTGTGCCAATAAATTATTTTAATATGATTTATGAAAATTTCGCTATGAGAGGATTTTTGCCGGCCTTCACTCTATTTTTTTGTTTCGATGTAAAATATAATACACGATATTTAGAAGAGATATCGCTATGTATGAACTTACGTTTATTATTTTTAATGTAAATTGCTCCCACACAGCAGTTATAAACCGTCTAATCGTTATGCTATACATTAATTTGAACCTCTTATAAATATTAATTTCTTGTTTCTCCAGTATATTTCAGTAACATTAAACCGAATGGATTGAAACCGGGCCATGTCATTTGTCTATACTCTTACGTTAAATACTGGCGATTATTATTGCAATTTAGCTATGAGCAACCAACTCAACCGTGTGTGGCTTTTATTAGACATTATCACGTAAAGTGTGGGGGCAAGATCATCATTATTATCATACCGCAGCGTAAAGTTAATTGTCAAATGAATTGGGGTGATTGTAACGTGAATTAAATCAGTTTCAGAATTAAGACATTAAAACCAATTAAAATATTGAACATTAGGTATACCAGAGCATAACGGAGCGTTTTAACTAATAACTCTTGTTTAATAGCGTGATAGATGTGGATATGTATAGATTTCTTTTATTTATTTTTATATTTGAATAGTAGTACGTAAAACAGAGATCCCTTTTCTTTTTCTTCTATCTTATTATTTAGGTACTGCTTTCCAGAATGTTTACAAAAAAAAAATGATAATAATTAATATATTTAAATAAATAGAGCCCTTTAAACTGTAGGCACTCGGTTGCGAATTCAGATATTTGGTAATAGATCACTTAAATACTAAAGTTAAACAACTGTCTCAATTCCATTTAATAATGCATTCAGCCTATACAAGTCGGAGGTGTACAATTTATGATTGTGCAGCATACCTGTAATTTGTGGTCTTTCATTACTTCATATTTCTCGGTAAACGCACGTGAAAACATAAGTGTTTGATAGATTACCCCCATGTAGGGTTGTCTCTTGTATAAATTCTATATTTGGAATTATTATTGACATAATGATTATGTAAATATACCTAGTAATAACTGTATTAACTTGTTGTAAGATATTATAAATTAATTTGATTGACTGAAGTAAAATCGCAATTAAAGTGTATTTTCCTTATATGAGAATAAATAAGTGTCTATTATACAATAATAATGTTTACCAAAAATTTCAATTTAGAAAATATTTTTTCTACAATAGATTTACAATTTAACTTTTGAATCACTGAGGTGAAAAAGAGATTGAACAGTTTGTTTTTGTGGTTTTGGGCAACATGTCGTATTTTTGTAATGCCTGCATCAAAGAATCGTTAAATTGTGAACTCTGCTGTAGTGAATCATAAGTTCATAACTTTTTATAAGGCACTCATTATAATTATTTTATAAAACACTATTACTTCATCGAGGTTTAAAATAGAGATATCTTTTTTTGTTGTTGTGATAGCCCTACGATGAATAGGGGCGATCGTTTAGCCAGCAATCTTTGCCTAATTCAATTTTAATAGCCGCTTATACAAGGTTGTATCTATCAGAAGTCTGTTATAAGTCACCATAGTTATTATTTGTAGTAATAGTCATGATAAGTATTAGTAATATGTAATTTATAAAAAAATAAATACATAGAGGTAAGGTTAATTCATCTTAAAATCGTCCACAGATAATTTGGAAGATGTAGTTCTTCCAGTTTTTTTTTAATATATAAACTACTAATCTGATTTCGATAAAATTTTAATGGGTCGACGATACACCTTTGTAACAAAAAAGGAATCTCCAGAATTAATCCACCCGTGTCGAAGGTTCAGTGAAATACAACAGCCAATTTTGAGAACTTACCAATATCTTGGAAACTTGATGCTTAAAGATATTAAATTTAAATATATAATAACAAATATTCAGCTATCATTCCATGTTTGAAGTTAGATAGGGATAGTAGGAAAGATATGCGGCTGCTTGTAAGTAGCAACATCCCTAGTATAGAAAGAAAAAGAAAATATAACTCTCTCTTTTGATGGGTGCACAGTAAAGATACTGTCAGAAACTAGCTAGCAGGCGGCATAGTGTACACGCTTAACATATGCTCTGATTTGTTAGTAGCGTCCAAAATTGGATTGTAACCGACTTATAAACTTAGTAAACTTAATAATATAATATAATTTATTTCATTTTAATTTGCATTTCATTATAAAGACCTCGCTCAAGTATGAAACCGTTAAATAGTTCTGATATATTCTCACTTTAATTACGCATATGCGAAAGAGAGACAGATATGTATCGCGATTTTCTTTCTATTACTAACCAAGGGACAGCTGGTTGCTTGGAATCCCTGCTCTATGTTTAATGCTCTATGCTATATGTAAACCTCTTTGTTTTTTATATCTTTAACTCAGTATTGTAGACTCTTTTTGTTCTGCATGTGGGATGTAGGTCTAGTTTGCGTAAACTCGTCCGTTTTAACGCATTGCCAACTAGTTCGACCATCGCAGTTTTTGCGTTAAAATTATGTGCAATTTTCAAGTTATTATGGTTAATTATGAAACATTTAGTAACGTAAAGTATCTATAGATTGAAGTTAATTTTGATGTGGCACAGTTAAGTTTTCAATAAATGTTGTTTTACACAACACTTATAGTTTGAATTTTAATTGAGCTTTCTTCTCTTTCCAATTTTTTTGAAAAATATCGATTTATATATACCATGGCATATGATTTATCGAAATAAAAATGAATTTTGCCGCGAAAGCCGTAAAAGTGCATGTAGGGTATGGTATTATGTTACCGTTTTCTAAGCGTTAAGGCTTGAGGGATAATTTCTTCAAAACAGGATCTTAACCCAGACTTTAATTATATTATATAATATATTTTTTAATATTGTGATAGAAAATGACATCGTATTTCAATGATGTTTTTTTTTTTCACAAGTGCTTTGTAACAACAGACTAGCTGAATAAATGATTTTGATTTGATTTGTCTGCCAAAAATTTGTCTTGAAAAAAAAAAATTGTAATGCTTGTTTTTTGTGAATTTGGCGGTCTAGTACTGGTGCCCGGAGGCAAGTGTAAGGGGGGGACGTGATAATTACTATGAATAATGCAACATTATTTTTAACAATGTCTTGTGTTGTTCCAGGACCCGACATACCCGGTTTCCTGTTGCAGCCGTTCAGAAAACCGAAGAGGATTAGGACAGCATTCTCCCCTTCTCAGCTTCTCAAATTAGAACATGCCTTCGAGAAGAACCATTACGTGGTCGGAGCTGAGAGGAAGCAGCTGGCTCAGGCATTGAGCTTGACGGAGACACAGGTAAGAACTTGTTTTATATAATTATTTTCTATCATCATTAGTACCTCTAATTTGAAGCTAAGACTTTCCTTGCGAATGAAGTTTGACTCACGGGACATTGGCAGAATTTGTGTACATAACAGTAAAATAACATAATAAAAACAAATAAATGAAATATCGGTAAGTTATACTTTAAGTAAATGCACCGATAGTTATGCACTTGACGGATTCAGAAGTTGCATTTCGGTCACCCATCCGATTACAGATAAATTAGTTGTGTATTTTCTTGGATTACAATTTTTCAATTTCAATTAGATGATCGATAATTATAATTAGGCATATTGTAGTCTATTTCCGTAGGTTATCATTTTTTTTTTAAATCGGTCCAGTACTTTCAAATACTATTCTATGCAAATAATGAAAACTTACCTCTTTATAATATTAGCGTATATAATGATTTCTTAAATTTTCACTCGAACTATCTTTTAAACGGTATCATCGCATTTTTATTTTGTTTTAATGACGTTTCGGACCCTCCACAGGCTCCGTGTTCACATAAGAAGAAGAGAGAGACCTCAATAAAACTAAATAAAAACGCGCTGAAATCGTTTAAAAGTTGTTTCATTTAGCGTAGATAAATTAAAATCTCGTCTGTTTATTAGCACAGTTAGTGAAGTATAAGCTTTTGAATTTCACGCTCCACCCTTGAGTTGTCGTGAAACTTTTCAGGAAGCTTTATAGCTTACCAAGAACAATCAACAAGAAAGTAGGGGATATATTTCTCTATCTTTTGATTTATGTGTTCCCATGATTGACTATTTTTTTTTATTATAGTTAATTAGTTATCTTATATAAATATAAAACCGACCGTTATTTAAAAAATGTTTGTAATAATCTGGAGTACAGTTGGGGAAATGGGAAATGGGAAAATAATTTACATATTTACGTATGTTGGTTGATGAGTTTAATTTTGTGTTATTCTCACGTTTTATTAAAAGCTTCTATATAATAACTTTTCATTTGGCGAAGATGATATCTATATTTTTTTTTTAAGAATTGAAGCGTGTGAACATGTTAAGATTAGATAATTATGCGAAGAAAGAGTTGTACAATCGTATTTTTAGTGCGTAATTATTATAATTACTAATAATATGTCAGCATTTTTGTTCTAATTGCTAGTAAGATGGAAATGATTGTGTTGAATGTAATTGGAATATTAGTAATAAAATAATTTCCAAGCATAAATTAAATTTTACTAATAAAAAACTAGGTGTATTGCCGCGATTTTGTAAGTTATAATCTATGTTACTCGCATAGATGTAAGAAGCACAGAAAAAGGTTGATTAATAATTGACTTTTACAGTCTTTTATCATCTTATGATGACGCCATATTTCAGTGAGTTTATAAATGCGTTTTTTTTCGATTTTCACAAGTAATTATTTTTAATTTTTATAAAATGCGACTTTTATTTCTTATTGCATTGAAATTAATATTTCATAGATCCTTAGTAACAATATAATGACGAGTACAGTTAATTAAGAAATTTGCTTCCTGTGTAATGAATGTGATTCGATCAATTTTTCGGTTGACCTTATAAATGTCTTTGGTTTTTCAAATAAGACACTGTTAGTTTGAATTCTGTTAGTTTCTTTTTAAAATTAAAGCACAGTTTTATAATTTTAAGATAAGTTTTTCTAAGGACGATTTGAACATGGGAAGAATTTATTACAACTATATTAGAAACGTTATAATACTCAACTAGCTGTGTTCTTGAGAGACGGGTTATTTATTTAGATCTTCAAAATGGTGCCTTACCATATGATTTCAATATGATATTACGAATTAAATGCGTTTGTAAGAACGGGAGACCACTTATAAGAGTGTATGGCGTCATCTCGCTTCCGCCGTTGCTTATTATCATCCCTATTCAACAATCGCATGAATTCATGTTAAAGCTATAGGTATATAGAAGGCCATGGTTTTGGTCTTTTAAATTGGCTTTACTACTACTTTCCGGGTTTCATCCCAGGTGTAGTGTTTTCATTGGATAGGCCTGCGATGAGCCAGTAAGCTAATACCTCCGCTGGATCGATTTAGAAGCGTCTCATATTAATTCATTATCCACCACGCATCTCTGTATGCGTAAAATTTTTTCCTGCAATAAAAGCCGGCTTTGATTCCTAGTTCACAATTTAATATCAATTCTATGAAATAACACGTTAAGTAAATTCGTTATGAAATGAAACAAACGAAACATTAAAATACCGAGAAATATATCAGTGTTGGTAATGTGTAATTGTTGGAAACTGTTAGCAAAAAATATTTAATTGTTGGTTCATTAGGCGAGCGCGAGCTAACGCTACAGACTACGGTCCGCAAAACAATTGAGTTACTTACAGATAAATAAATAAATAACATAATTTTAACAGTTTATTTTTCTATTGAGTGTTTGAGAAAAACAGTTAGAAAGAAATATAAAACTACATCACATACTTACACATTGCCCGGATTCTAAGATAAGTAGCTACCACACTTGTATTTATGGAGTACTTGAAGGTACCACAACATCTAGACACAATATAGAAAAAAATATTGTTGATAATATGCAGAAAACATTTGAGTATATTGCCGGTTCTTCTCAGTGTACTGAGTGTACTGACGCTGTAGCGTTCTCGCCGTAGGTTTGTAAAATGAGTACATAGTTTTCGATATTCACGAGTGCTTATAACAATCTAGACTGATTAAATTATACTGAATTTGAATGCATTGATCCGACCGAGAATTGAAATCTGAACCTCATAGCGCCATCCATGAGGTCCAATTGGGGAGGCGGTATAACTTGAAACCGGCGTGCGAGCCACTTGGTAATAGAGGTCGCCAAATCAAAATTATTTATTTAGTTTAGGCACTTGTGAAAGTCTAAAACTACGCCATCGGTTCGCAAAACTACGGCGGGACACTTTGTTCTGAGAAGAACCAGCAAGAAACTCAGCAAGGGCTGCTTTTTTCTCCCTGTTTTATTTCACACAGAGAAGTCTTTTTCAAATGTGACTTCATAACAATATGAAGTCACTTTCCATTACAATATTAGAAAGTTAAATACAATAAAGTTAAAATATCTAACACCATGCCTTTTTGTCATTTAGATATTCCTTAATGATATAATATCCTTTACTTTGTAGACAATTTTTAAAACGACTTTTGAAATGTCGTCGATAAATATCTGAAATGAGAAACTACAATAGCAATATTCTTAGACGATAAGTCTTTAGTATCGTTTCTTAAAGTGTAAGTAAAAACACTTGACTTTTTTTACGTACACGTTCAAAAATACTTATTATTTCATTACAATTAATTCTTATAATTAACATGCCAATACATGTGTTACACAAGATGCTTTAAACTAATTAAAATGTTATAATATTGACGTGACCGATCGATATTTTTTTGCTATCACTACCTGCTAAACATCGGTTCGGTAGTGACGCGCGTCGGGTGTGGTCGGCAACGGCCTAGTTCGCGTAGTTTTTTAGACCTTGCGTTGCTGTCTATAGGCGAAAGTGGATTTTTTACTGATAAACGTTATCACTATTTGTTAAGTAATTAATTTATGCATTGAATGGATAATCGTTTCATCATTGATAGTTTTATCAAAGGAGATTTTTTAACTGTTTGCGAGATATCTGTGGACAAACATACATACGTATAGACATCTATAAAATTTTGCACATGTGTTTTGAAACCTATATATATGAATATTACGCCATTCCAACAATATTACATATATACATACATCTCGAATTGATAACCTCCTTAATTTTTGAAGGCGGTTTGAAATTAAGATCTAAATTCGCTGAATTCTTTTCTTGCTATTTAAACTTTTCATCAGATATTAACGTAACAAATAGTCATACGTACAAATTTAGTGCTCGAGATTTTTTTCTATCATAAATTTTCTTTCTATAAGAATTTTCTTAGGATTTCTACGAATTTAAACAAGCTAATTGATCTAGCCGTTGTCGAAATTACCTATAATTTTGTACTGAACATCTAAACGGATTATCATACGATTTTAAGTAAATAACTAAGGTCGTCGTAAAAGACGTATTTTCAAATAAATAAATTTTAAATAGTTTAAGTAACCATTCTAATGGTTGTAAATTGATTACCGATGTTTGACTTTTTGTAGTAACTGATGTGTTGCTCTCCATTAATAGACTAGTACACTATACTAATGTTAATAGCAACTGAATTCGAAACTTCCGATTAATAAACTGTATTCTAGCGATTGAATTCATCGGCAATTAACAGCATTACGCCTGTTCCATAATCAGTTGAAAACACATATTTTTTTTCTTGATCAATCATCGCAGTAACTCGCGTATTATGTTCGAATATGTGCAATTAGAGTCCATTAACATATGAAATTGTCCGTAAATGAGCCGTGTACATCGACTTTATAATTTATAGCTATTCGATTTATTGTTGGGGTTCCGTTGTGTTTTATTTGTCACATTTTTAAAAGACATTTGAATAATTAGTCAATTTGTATACTGATATTTTACTAATATAATAATGTTTTCTTATTAATTGTGTGTTAAAACGAATAGGTACACAGGTGAATATGAAACGCTATACATTTATGAATTGCGACAAGGAAAATATTGAAATAAGTTGCAATAAACAGAAAACAATTTTAGCTCAGCGTATGCTGGCGCTCATCGCTGATTTTCCAAAGTCAAAGTCAAAATAATCTTTATTCAAATAGACTTCTTAAAAGTTATTTTGAATTGTCCAACATTTTCTTCCTTACCACTCGTTCTGGACGTGTTCTGGCTGATATGAAGAACGAGCAAAAAACTCACCAGTATTTTTAATAGTAGATTTAAACTGCATGATCCGTTTTGTTCCGTTTATACTGGGTCTGGGTAAAAGCAACACAATTTTCCTACCGTGGCTGTACATTCTGTGATTCCTTTGATCTATTTTAATATGAAACTAACAAGCAAGAAAAAAGTTG